TACAGATTTATATATATATCATAAAAATTATTATCAACTAGATACGTTGTAGCCTATCTCTTTAACTGCTAAGGTAATTACAGATTTATATATATATCATAAAAATTATTATCAACTAGATACGTTGTAGCCTACCTCTGTAACTGCTGAGGTAATTACAGGTGTATTTATATAATAAAAATTATTATCAACTACATACGTTGTAGCCTACCTCTGTAACTGCTGAGGTAATTACAGATGTATTTATATCCTAAAAATTATTATCAACTAGATACGTTGTAGCTTATCTCTGTATGTGCTAAGGTAATTACAGATCTATTTATATCCACACAAAAACGCGCCCTCTTCTGGAATCCTGAACATAAGTACTTTTGCACTTGGTTAAAACTCTTCAGCTTCCATGTTTACACAAAATGGACTCGTCATTAACTGGTGCTTTTGTGAGGTTTTTTATAGCAGTCGTTTTTCTCCTCTTTACCCACTCAATTTCTAACTGATATCAAACTCATTTATTTGTAAACGTACAGAATGTCGGCTTTATGACGCTGTGGTGAAACGATACCACTCCAATGCTTTGTGTCGCCAATCTGCTTTGAAATCTATAGATACAATTATTTTTAATAAATATTTAGAACTTTCTCATTGCATATTGCTATAAACATTTATAAAACAGGAAGGTGATATGTAAAATAATTGCTGCTTTTTAAAGAACGTAACAATAAATCCAATTTTGTCTACAGGTATAATGTTCATGGTTTCTTTAAGTTTATCTGTTTCTCAAGTTATCATGATTTTTCTGGTTTTACTTTTACCAACAGCGCCAGATCTGACTCACTTAAATTTCTCTATATTTTTCTGTTTTTGGTAATAACTAATCCTTCTTCTAAAAACAATAGAAGTTATATGTTTTCTTCGTTGATAAGAGACGAAGATAAAAAGAAATCTGAGCATGAAAAACTTAGCACATGCTGTGAAAAAAAACTATTGTTAGTTTTTATTGAAGTGTAAAGCTTCAAGGCCTTCATCCAATGTAATATTGTGGGTCAGCTTTTCGATCAAAAGGCTTGGGATTTGGATTACTACTTTGTCAAATTTGCTTTTGTACAAATGTAGTATTCTTTCATCTATTGCCCCTTTATATTTACGTACTAATGACATTTTTTTTTACTCGTATGAGCATGCCCTAATGAAATGTGGATACTTCCTGCAATGAAAAGGTTAACTTCAGCATCATGAAGTAATATATTCATGGCAGACTAAATATCCACTAGGAGTTCTATTACAATACATATCTTTGCAAAATTCACCATCATTCCTGTAGACATACGAAAAGGATATGTGTTACATTTTCCATATTTATAACCACTTTGTTTGTGATGTCGTGGTCGTGTTATTTTTTAATTTCATTCCCCTAATAACTTTGTCTCTAGCTTTCTATGTTTTAGAAATTTATGAAAATTTATATTGCTCTGATTGAAGTTCTGGTTAATTTCAATTCTTTGCATTTGTCATATATTTTTTTTTACATTTTATTATGCTTGGATACTAAGGCTGTAACGTTTGTCTTTAGAGTTTTATTTATCA